CAGCCACCGCCACTGCCTGCAGGGCTCTCTTGGGGTTACTTTCCTACTTATTTGTGTTTCACCGGGATCTCCAGCCCTCAAATGATCCTCTCAATTCCCCATCCCCTCTGGCAGCACTCAGGATGGGGATAGTAAGTGCCCTGTGTCTTCTCGTGGAGAACAGTTACACTGAAGTCCCTCAGTTGCCATCACAGAAATTCCCTCTCCCACTTCTTGTGTAGATCCTCATGTGGTTTCCCATCAGGGTGGTAGAGGTGTCCGTCCATCCTGGTGGGGGGTGTGGGGCTGGTCAGACTCCCTCACTGCAGGGGCAGGGCTAGGCAGGGGACCAGATCTGTGCAGCCTTTGGGGTGCTTCTGGCTGGGTTTCTCAATGCATGGCCCTCGCAGCTGGAAGTGAGCTTTCCAAAAAATCCAGTTGGACTTGATTTTAGGGGTCTTTTCCATCCTAACTGATACTATGATTCTATGACACCCCACTTAGCTCACTTAGTTTTTGATGTCCTCTCTTAAAAGTGCTGCCTGCTGGTCCTTGTCTGCGTCTGTAAGTTCCTGTGTGCCAGCAGTGATGCTGCCCAAGTTGGAGATGAAGCTTTTCTGGGCTGGGGCTGACTTTGTGTTGACTGTGGATGTTGCTCTGATGTCTGTCTTGCTCTTGAGCAGACTGTGCCATGTCCAAGCCCGAATTCTTATTTCGGATCGAAAGAGGAGGGGAGCTGCACATGCCGCTGGTGATAGCAGGCCTGGAGGGAACTGATATGTCTCTGGAGCGAGCCGCAGGTGTGTGACACTGGGTTTTTTCTGTGCCAGGATCCTGGCTCCTGGTTGCTTACCGTGATAGGAGGCGTGGAGGGAACTGATATGTCTCTGGAGCGAGCCGCAGGTGTGTGACACTGGGTTTTTTCTGTGCCAGGATCCTGGCTCCTGGTTGCTTACCAGTGTGATTGTGGTTGCTGCCTTCAGCCCTGGGGACCTCATCTAGTTCCAACCCTCTGCCACAGGCAGGGGCACCTTCCACTAGAGCAGGTTGCTCCCAGCCCCGTCCAACCCGGCCTTAAACTCTGCCAGGGATGGGGCAGCCACAGCTTCTGTGGGCAACCTGCGCCAGGGCCTCACCACCGTCACAGGGAAGAACTTCTTCCTCACATCTCATCTAAATCTTCCCTCTTTCAGGTTAAAGCCATTCCCACTTGTCCTGTCCCTACCTGCCCTTGTCAAAAGCCCCTCTCGAGCTTTCTTCTTGTCCCCTTTAGGC